CTGTAGCAATAAGCAAAGCTTGTATATTATTCATAAGATAGTAATTACAACACGTATACATATGCACATATAACATTAGTAATTTCTATGAAAAACGTTTGTTAGTTTTTTCAGATAGCAACATCTATAAGTAATTTCAATGAATTTTTTCTACTGATTATGTTTATGTCTGTAAGCATTATATATATGTTTCTAGCCAATTACATGGGACAGATTATAATAGACCACAATAATCACGTGTTTCTTACTGCGTAAGAATAATATTTTTATAAGAAATTATATATAAACATCCTCTTTTTAGTGGATTCCTTACGAAAAAATATATTCTTGGTGATCTAAAATAACACTCAAATTTGAGGGTTAATTCTCAAGTTGGAAGTTAATACTCAATTAGGTGTTATTTTGTTAACACCAAGAGTGTATTTTTTCGTAATTGCATATACAACAATAAATGTAGAATCTCCTGCATTTCAAATTAGTATGTAGGGAGGCTATAAAGTATTCTGAAAGATTTTACGGAATAATTCTTCACACAAATTCACGAAAACTTTATATGACCATAAACTTTATATGTCCGATACGACTTAGTTTCAAAAATATGGAATGTGTTTAAGTAGAAGGAAAATTTTGCTTTTCAAAAATTTCGAATATCATTTGGACTATTTTGATGAAACTTTAAACATATATATATAAAGTTTTATCATAAAGTTTTGATAATAACTTAAGTGATATTATCAAAACTTAAAAAAAAAAAAACAAAATTTTTCCTTCATCTTTAATATCCTACTTTTGAAAGTAAGCTATTTCGGACATATGATCACATAAAATTTTCATCTTGAATTTGTATGAAGAATCATCTCTCAAAATTTTTTAATTAATATCCACCCTGTGCCGATACGTAATAAAAATTCCTGTCTTGAATTAGCAATCTGTTATCTACATATATGTATTCAATTCCGTAGGTACAATGTTCAATGGTATAGAACACCATTACATGTACAAAAAATAATATTATTCTTATTGCAAAGGGACACCAAGAAGTTTACTTTAAACATCGGTGGAATAATTGAAGGATCCGTAGAGCACTTTGCCTCGGTAATATGAGAAAAATTATTTTAATAATACACATACATAACAGAATTATAAACAGAATTAAATAATATACATATATAGATAAAATAAAAGAAAATGTTTTCATTTGCAGCTAGTAAAGGCCTCAGTATCTTATTTTACTGTAATATATTCTACGCGATAACCAAATCAATATTAATTCATGATTCATGATCATTAATGGAAATATAATAAATGAAAAAATAATGATATATTAAAATAATCATTTCTTTGATTCAAATTTAATTCTTTTCAATTCTTAGCAATTTTTTAAAATAATAGATATTTCTTTACTAAAAAGAAGAATAATTTTATTTTGTTAATCTTGATTTAAACATTTTTAGTTCAAATCAAGATATGTGTATATACTTCAAGTTTCTAAAATTTATTGAAATCAGTTCTAAGTTAAAAAAATAAAAGTTAAGTTAAAAAGTTAATTTTAATTTAACTTAATTACATTTAGACTCTTAATTTTTTAACTTTATTTAATTACATTTTATTTCGTAACTATTAATTTTTATTTAATTCTTTGAAGTTAAGTCTCAAACATAATAGCGACAATAGCTTATATAACTTAAAATAAGGTGAAAATTGCAAAAGTGAGCAAATTTACTAATTGACTAATGAAATTATAAATATGACAATGAAATTATAAATATTCTAGTAAATTTGCTCACTTTTGTAATTTTCATCTTATTTCAAATTACATAATCGATCCCCAGATTTCAATCTGTTTCTGTCAGAAACCATGTATTTCGATGTATCTATTGTAGTTTCTGATAGGTTGAAATATATTATTTTTTTATTACTATCACTATTCTCTCGTATTATGTCCGAAGCTTTAATCATATCACAGGCCAGTATTCATATATCGAATAAACAATGTATATAATATGTATATAATATATCGTATATAATGTATATAATATATCGAATAAACAAAACATGTAAATAAAATATAGAGTATTTTCTAAATGAAGTATATATTTATTTTTTCCGTTATTTGTAGACCCTGGAATCATGAATTTAAAAAATATAAAAAAACAAATTAATTTAACTTTTAACTTTTCAATTACTTTCTTTTATTAACTTAACTTTTAATTCAATTAATTTCATTATAAATTGTTAAATTTTCTTAATTATTATAAGTTAAATTTTCAAACTTTAACTTTAACTTAACTTAGTTAAAAAAAAAGTTAACTTATCTAATTCTAATTGAAATCAATACTTGCATAATCGCAACTTAATTATAATTATATAAATGGCTCATGTTTATATATTTTACATCAATTATAAATAAGATTTTTTATGCTATTAATAATAGAACATTAAAAAATATAAGAAATATAAAAAAAAATATTATCAATATAATGTATAGTTTAATTATAGACAATAAACTTATAGATCAACATTCAATACTTGTTTGCTGAAAATATTAATTGCAACGATTAAACGCAATTTTAAAATTTAATAACGTTATATATTAATATAATGCTATTATTTTCAAATTATGAACTTTATTTGATAATTCACGGTATCGAAAAAATTAAAGTAAAGAAATACTCTCTCGAAGTGTATCCTGTGAGTGCGTAAACTAAAATGAAGTTCCGGCGCTGGGAAAAAGAAAGTGCGCCTGCGTGCAAAATAATGTATTTTCATGAGAAAAAAACATCTGTTGAATTACTGTTCGTTACCGATGGTGTTAAATCAATAACATAAATATTCGTAATTTCCTGAGAGAGGAAGTTAAATTCGACGCCATTACATCTCACACAGCTTTTACACTAAACTTTTACACTATCATTATAAATTATGGAATTTACGGTGAAATTGGATCAGAAGAAATGAGATGAAATATTTAGCCAACTAATAGAAAAAAATAGAATACGCATACTCTCATTGATGTCTTCAGTTTTCTCAGTAAAACGTAAACGCTCATAGAGAAAATGATACGTCCCGAAATTCAGTATAATAATCTCAATAAAGTTCTATTGCTTGCTGTTGGTTTATGGCCTTATCAACAATCCAAATTTACTCAATTTCAGTTTATTTTCTTCTGTACTATTTTGTCAGCAGGTATTATATTTCAGGTACAAAATTATATAAAATTATATAATATAAATTGCTGTGTATAATGATAATATTTCATTTCAATTTATTTATATCAATCCATATTATGCAATCAATTTTTATGTCAAATAAAGAAACTACAAAGTATTCGCTATAGAGATGCAAATGGTTGATTACAATTGTATATATAATATATATAATATATAATATATACGATATATACAATATAT